GAATCTAAAAACGAAACAATTTCCTCTAAGTAAATCTTAATGGAGATTTCATAGTCACTTTTCTACGGTCACCTGCAGCAAAGTGTACCTATACATAACGACAATCAAATTGGACTTTCACAGGAAATATTCATTGAAATGTCAAAATAATAGTCCATACTGGCAAATGTTTAACGGGTAAACAATTTTAATAATTGAATATACAGTTACGGTGATTATTTGATTGAAATTTCGCGACGTATACCGATAAAGTAATAAGCGTGGATTGATGCACGTCGATGAGGGGAAACCTGTGTGTCAGGATTGTAGCAAGTGGAAGGCTATAGTCACTGGTCACTGCGATAAGAAAAGGCCTGAAATGTATGGTATGTTATGGTGTAACGGGCTGGTGTCCACAATTCAAAGGGCGCCCATTGTGTATGTGTTGAGTGCAAGGTCCTACTCCTGCCAATCACCTAGATCTCCTAGAAGAATCTATGCTCCTGGGTTTGGTGAAGACGCCCTTCGCCCTGTAGTTGGCCATGCCGGAGCTTTATATCAGGCTTGCGCGCTCACGCACGCTCCGTATAGAGAGTTGTCCGTGATAAGTAAATTGAAAAGGTACAGACCATGATCCGTTAGGGCAGCTTGAATGCGTAGTTCTTGCCTTTTGAGTTTAAGAAATGTTCGGGATAAACCAGTGTTGCGCGTTGGAGTGCTTCCCTAGCCTGTCTACAGTACCGTACGGTTTGTGCATGTATGTATATATGTATACACAAAACCGTTCCATTTGTGTATTTTTAAGTTTATGGGACAAATCCACTGTGCCTGTAATTTCACCAACACCCTTACCCTTCAAAATCGGAAGGCATGCTCACATTACTGCTTGGCGGCAGAAATACGTATGGTGGCAGACTTCCCCGAGTATTAATAGATTCAGGCGTTATTTTGCGGAAGTTCACGGTAATAAAAAAATTGGTTACTTATTTTATAAATTTTATGCGGAGGGAGCGTGGGAAAATTAACTGCATGAAAAATATTGAACACATGCGCAGCTATTTCGCACGATTGAACCTTCACTGGTATCGCGGAGTAGCAAATTAATTTTTATTAAATCTTCGCTGGACGAAGTTTTTCACAAGGAGCTAAACATATATACATTTAGTAGCAGTAGAGCTAAGTGTATAAATTTCGTTGCCTGCGACTGTATTTTAAAATGGTGGCAAATTTTGATTTTTCAAATTAAAATTTGTGTTTACGGTAATGGTTTGCACTGTTGGATGGCTCCGTCTCGGGTTTTCTGTTCTCGTCTGTTCTGGAACTCATAGTACAGGGAATGCCCTAGTTATAGTTCAGGCAATTGGTGTAGTTGTCTGGCACATCTGCCCTCCTTGTCATAACTAACGCATTTGCATTTGGATAATTTTCGTGATATTGGCCTCTAAAGTTTCTTTCTTGTAAAAAATGTCAATTATGCTGATTATACTCAAAATAAAACTGAAATTAAAGAAGATACAAAAAACCGATTAGAGGGGTTGTAGATCTCGTTTCGCGCGACTTGCGCGAGTGCGACATAAAGCGCGAGATCTCTTTATGCGAGAATAGCAGTATCTCGCGCTTTATGTCGCTCTCGCGCAAGTCGCGCCCTGTCGTGCTAGCCCTACAGATATATTAATAACTCAATTTTGGTAAAAATATCGATTACGCTAGTTATGATAAAGCGGGCAGACATTATTATTATTTTGTCTTTCTCAAAATAATATACAAGCGAAAAGTTTCAAAGAACTTCGCATTAACGAGGACTTATAAATTGTAATCTTCGCGATGCTGCAGTCGTGAAAACCTTTTCTTAAAAGTATCGTCTGTCGTTAGAATCTAAAATTAAAGCAAAACCTTGCACATTTATATGTTTAAAAATATTTTTTTCAATTTTGCTACATTATAAATTAATGCATGTGTCTATATTAGCCCAGTCAACAGTCGCTACACTTTGCGACACAACGGCTTTAGTATAGGAATGCCGCGCGACTCTACGATGCGACAATACGACGCTAAAGTGAGTTTTGCTACTATAGGCATTACCACGTGAGAAGTGACGTTAGTACCACTGTACTTTCACGAACACTGCCAACAGCTTCGGTATACCTATCTGGAAAATAGGGAATGTGCTGTAAGTGCACCAGTGCTGTTTTTATTTTGTATAATACCAGAGACGATCAATACATGCGCCACGCCTGTCTATAGCAGTTACAGTGCCACTCAGAACCTTAAATCACAAAGATCTGTGAGACACTGCCTCTGCGTCTATCACCCTGAGATCTAAGTCGACAAGTCTCATGTGCCTGTAATTTCACCAGCGTTAAATGGAAGATTTATTCGTGGTCGATTGTCGATAAGAGAGCTTATGTGTTGAAGTTTCTTTTGCAACATGCAGGTTTCTTCATGGTGCTTTTGCCTTCGCTATATAAACAGGTAATGTACATACAAGTTGTACAGTCGGACAACAATTTGAGTGTAGCATTTTGCGAGCAGTTCCGATTTAGCCGGAACGCTGCTATTGTGACAACTTTCTCAACCGTACATAGACGCTTACGATTGTAGACTCAGTTGTGTAGGTCGTACCTGTACTTGAACCCGTATATTATATATACAAGGAATACTATAAAACAATGGCCTAACATATTGTAAGTCAAGCTTTTAAATGAATTTTAAGATGAATTCCATTGTGATTGGAAATAAATTACTACTATTTGTATTATTAAACGACTTTAAAAAAAAGGAGGAGGTTATACGTTCGGTTATATGTATGTTTCCGATTTCTCCGTCAATTGTAGTAAATTATTTTTTGTTTGAGCGGGTGTACTCTCGTAGTGGTCCCATTGTCAACAAGTTAGAATCTGATGAGGGGAACCAACGGAAATCGAAAAAAGCCGATAAACAAACTTTTGAGATAGGTTATCTACTTACAGCACGATCGCAACATGCCAAAAAATAAGGTAAGGATACAAAATATAATTTCATTAAGTGAAGATATCTTATTTAAACTTTTTGCACAACACAATACTCTATAAGTGGTAGGCACAAAGCCATAAAGCATTATCTACCGCTCAATCTTCGGGTCAAACAAAAAAAAATCAATACGTAGGGCTGCACTTAAAACAAAATTAACAAAACAATGTAAACCAAAATTTGACAGTTAAATAATATGGTATAAAATAAATATACTTAAAAAAACATTAAAATACTTATGCAATAAGCTGTCGTAGCCTAATGGTTTGACGGAGGAGGTTTGAATCTGGGCTCGCACCTCTGAGTATTTTGGAATTTGTGTAATAAATTCGCACATCGAAGAAGGTTCACGACCTTCGGAAAACATGTAAAATCACCAAAGCGTATTGGGCCAGCGTGGCGGACTATGGGATAAACTCTCGCTTGAGAAGAAACCCGTGCCCACCAGTGGGACCTACAAATGGGTTGATGGTGATGATATACTCGTACAATAAACATAGGTACACACATATATATGTGTGTACCTATTATTAGTATAGTATTGTGTATATATTATAAAAATATATAAGTACCCACAGCAACATAATGCAGAAGATTGTCAAAAAGATGCTAGCGCAAAATGCTTGAACTAAATCTTAAGGTTGAACAACACAATATGTTAAAATTTACATTCTATTGTAAAGGTATGGTAAAGTTATTAGTCACTTGGAACTAGTAAAGGGAGTTTAATGCATTATGTTCTCTACTGTTAATGAAATACGTTGTCTTCAGTGGGAAAATTACTTACGTAAATGAGGTGGTTGACGACAGCCAGTGTCACATGTTAATTAATTTTCTACGTAGTGCTTGCTATATATAAACTAAAGTTCCTATCTCTGCACAACTCTAAACAGGATGTCGTTTTAGAGAGACGAGATTTTATCGAATATGTACCCTGTAGCAATTTTACTGTTGGCACTAAACTGTCATAGAGGGGTGGTAGTTTAGTAGAACGGATGCTTCTCAAATCGAGTGATTGACGTTTCGATTGTCTATGGCGGCATAAGCCTGTCTACGACATTGCAGTACCACATAAAGTTTTAAATCGCAAAGAACTGAGGGGCACTGCCACTGCATCCGTCACCCTGAGACGTAGAGTTGACAAGTTCCATGTGCCTGTAGTTTCACCTTTGTCTTTCAAAACCCGTACTCAGTAACGCTCACATTATAAGGGCAGATATAGGTCAAATGTAAAAAAAAAAGAAAAAAAAAGGTGGCAGCACATTTCTGGACGTACTGTTTCACAAGAAGCTCTACTGGTACTAAAACCTATACTTTTAATTATAACTTACGTTAATTTCTTGATGTTTAGTAGCCAATACCTCTTCCAAATCTTGGAAGAAAATATCTTGATGAAACCTGCATGTCGAAGACAGCTCACAACCCTTGGAAAATGTGTGCAATCACCTACCCGCATCAGATCAGAGTGGAAGACTATGACCTAAACTATCTGTATAGAGGATACGACGAAAGGGTTGTTGTTAGATTACTAAAATGTCGTCTAATACACAGATTGTGTTATTTGAGCTGAAACGTGTTTGAATGCAGACAGAAACATACGGATACTATGATAAAAATTTGGTCACGTAAGAGATTGATCAATGTAATCGGTTCACATGAAACCAATGGCTTTACGCCTCGACGCAGCCTCATTCAATATAAATAATGATTTGTACATGTAGGATCGTTTTCATTTCATCAAATTTAATTTAATAACGATGACTTTTAATTTATGTAATACCACGCAGTTCTCACTGGAGTCTAAAATCCCAAGGAACTAGTTTATTTAAAATATTTTTACAACTATACAAAGAATTTAACTTCAAAACCAACTCAGTGTTTCTACATAAGTGCACCATACAGACTAATAGCATTATTATGGTCAGAATACCATACAATAGAAATGGCCTCATTATACCACGACGATCATTCAGCATTGAAACAATAACCTCATGATAAACATTATCACTTACCTTAATCGGCGACGACGAGAGCCATAGCTGGAACAGGTCTGACGTCACTGAAGTACTTCGCGCCTCGTGGTGTGGCCTTGGAGACAGTGGCCCTGATGATGTCAAACTATGCAATCTATGTACTTCATCAGTCGTCGCACATTCCCTTATATACCTTTCCAGAACCTTCGGCTTACTTTCAAGAAGTTTCTTCAACTCTTCCAACTCATCATCAGTACAATCGTCTGGAGTAGACCGGTCTATCACTTCTCTATATTCGTCGACCACTTCAGTATTTACATCGTCGTATACGACCTTATTGCCTAATTCTGGACTAGATCCATCTATAACTGTAAAGGTAACATCACTATCACATTCCCTGGTACTATCTAGCTCTGTTTCACAACCATTCTGTTCTGTTATCTCTAGAATAGTAATCGGTGGGTTTTCCTTTAACATGTTGTTATTTTCTATACTGTCTAGGTCGTCAGGTATTTCGTAGACTAGTTTCATTAATTCATTCGTTTGTCTTACTCTGTCCTGTTTTTTGTCTGCTTTGTTGCTCTCAGGTGCTTCGGCAAAATTGCTATCACCTGACTTCTTTGGTTCTACATCGATTGGTTCTTCGGATGTCATGGCAGGTTTAGTGGGTTTCTGAAGGTAGGGAGAGAGGTTTGGCTGGGGTGGTGATCGGCATTTCTTGGTGTCTTCAAACTGGATGTGGTACCTGTGGTCAAAGAAAATTACAAATTATTATATTCTAAAACAAGGGGGAAGTCTTATTTTATCGAACTAATTAGACACTGCCTCCGTGGCCGAACGGTTACCATGCCGGACTGCCACGCAGAGGTTCCAGGTTCGATTCCCGGGCCGGGAGAAATAGTTGTATGGCCTACAATTATTTCTCTCGTGAGTTTGGGTGTAATTTGTGGTTGTCTATGTGTGTGTCCATGGCATCCGCGACACAGGGTTTCCCTAGTGCGGAGCTATGTTGAGTGTGTGCGTTATTTATTTATTTATTTATTATTTATTTATTCTTTCCCAGACAGTCCGAGTACAAAACCAAAGTCGTTTATTTGCCTAATCGTTGGGTTACGGGCAGCACAAGCGAGTTCGAAGATAAATGTTTACTCTACTTAATGCATTCCGAAACTCTATCACCTCGTTTCAGTACTCTGACGTTATTTACATGGAATTGATCATTAACTGTATCTCGTTTTACCGAACTACCCTTTGGCATTTCCATGCCTTAATTGAGTACTGTTTGTCCGGGCAGTATCGAACGTGGTGCATAAACGGTATTTGTGTTAAGCGATACTCGTGTACGTTATAAAGTGGCCAGTATGATGATAGCTTATTAAGCACTTGCAGGTGGTACAATGTTTTTCCAATGACAAAGTAGAAGGTGATAAAAATCTACGTTTTGGAAAAAGTTGATAAAATTCTTCGAAAAACGATGAAGTCTCCAAATTGCTATAGGCCAACGTGGTGGTCTAAGCCTGAATTGTGAGACGTATCTACATATATGGATTGATAATAATAACTATCCACAAAAGTAGATGAATTCCATAAAATATTAATGTATACTAATATATTGCGCATGATTCGAAAAGCAGCAGTATCACTTTAAAGCTTTAAGTTGCAATGATCTGAGAGGCGCTGTCATAGCGCCCGTCACCTTGAGATAAGTCCCATGCGTCTAATTTCATCAGCACTACTACCCTTCAAAACCGGAACGCAGTAATGCTCTAATTACTGCTTGACGGCAGAAATAAGTAAGGTGGCAGTACTTCCCTGGACGAACTCTTTCACACGGAGCTCTGCTGCTACTGATCTCTGTCATCTGTTGGTCTGTGATGCAGGTCAAGATTTAAACTTCTGCCTTAGAAGACAGGGATGCTTACCTAGAAGGAAGCGTTCTCCCGTCTTCTAGCTTCCCTGCCTGTTTATCTCTTAATGTCGCTCTCGCGCTAGTCGTGACCTGTCGTGCTAGCCCTACAGGTTCGAGTTCAGTTAGGCCGAAGGTATTTTTATTTGTGGTCGATCTTTATGTAAATATAATTTAATATATTCCTTAACTCTCTAAAAAAAAGTATAATACTGGAGCTAAGATCGTATAAAAGAAGTTGTAATTTATATTTGTTTTGTCAAGATGGGCTTCGAAAAAATTTGAAGGTGACCCTAGTTCATTAACCGTACGTATACACTAGAAGTTTTGAGTATGTGTTATGCCATTTGTCACGTATACAATAAAAGTTTTTCAAGTTCATGGGCCTTATCGAGACACGAGACAACTTTAGTCCCAAGACGATTTGTTATCATTATTGTGTTATAGATTATCGACTAGGGTCTAAGTGTCTACGAAAATTTTATACGTGTAGGTATATACAACAAAAAAGAAAGAAAATTGCTGTTTAATAACTGTTACTTTAGATTATGGGGGAGAAGAGAATCTAAAATATATATCGAAAACAATAATTATGTATTCGTTTATAAAAAAAAATGCGCAGTGCGCATTTGACCTCCTTTCCACGATATGGAAATTGACTATGAGGTCGACGATGGAGCATGAACACCTAAGTAATGCCTATTCATTCCTCGTCTGAAGAGGTCCAAGTTAAACTTTATAAGTTCAGAAATAAAATTCGTAACTTGATAGTACGAATAAAAATGCAGAGAATATATGTATATACAAATATAAACGTAAAATGCCTCTGTGGCCGAACGGTCACTATGTTGGTCTGCTACGCAGATGCCCCGGGTTCGATTCTCGGGCTGGGAGAAATATTTATAAGGCCCACGTTTATTTCTTATTCCGGTTAGGAAGGATAAGGGTGCTGGTGAAATTACAGGCACATGGGACTTGTCAACTTTTGTCTCAGGGTGACGGGCGCAGTGCCAGTGCCCCTAAGATCATTGCGATTTAAAGCTTTGAGTGACACAGCGACTGTTATGGATAAGCGTGTCGCTTAACACCAGGTGCACGGCTTGTTCGTCCCGTAACTTGGTACTATAAAAAAAACTATTTTTTTCTCTCGTGAGTTTTGGGTGTAATTTGTGGTGGTCCATGACACCCGCGACCCAGGGTTCCTCTAGTGCGGGGCTATTGAAAAAAAGATTAAGTTTTTTTTTCTTAATATCAGAAGTTTCAGAGCAATAGTTTATATTTACGAGTACATTATATCACTAACATAGTTCTGATTTCAAGGCCATATAGTACCTTCTACGATATAAGTCGCATCCTTTCTATATATGTATATGGTCATGTTAGAGTGAATACCTAGTATGTGATTTCTATGTAATTTTCTGGACGAAGATAAAAATGTGGTGTAAAATATAGTAAATGCGATAATGTTTGCAGTTAGCATTTTAATTGGTTGAATTGTACCTCTTTCAGATTCTATATTTCTTTGATAATATATTTGAGCAAGATTTTCTTCAACAAAAATCAGTAAAAATGTACTATGTGATTTTTGTCATAGTTCGCTTTTACTGATTTTTGTATGCCAGGTATTCACTCTAAGACGTTGGTATAGTATAGAGTCATATCAGCAAAATTACAACTTTTCAGGAGCTCGAGGTAAGAATCTATGAACGAAAATAGCCGATAACTTTTTTATGGTTCCAAAACTTCACATATACATAATTTGTTTTATGTACTTTCATTTGATAAAATCGCTTTTGACATATGATCACATGTGACTTTATTAAACGGGTACGAAGTATAAAAATACGAAACAAAATATTAAAACAAAATGCTGGGAGTAGGAAGTAACACAATTATTATCAGAACATCACACGCACAAGTAATTGGCTTTAATATCAAGGAGCAAACTGACACAATGTAGTAAAGAAATAATATTCCGACGTCGGAAAAGGAACACGAAATGTGTGACGCCATGCGATATTTCGTTGTAAGATTATTTCGATACCTCCAATGAACACTACGCCAACTTTATTTTTTGGTTATTTTCTATTATTTTTGTAAACAGTCTAATAAATAATAATAATATTTATTTTACTAATATTGTCCTTCCCCAATTTTCCGAAAAAAAAACAAAAACATAATTCGAAAAAAAAACAAAAAATTAAATAAACAAAAACAAAATAATAACAGAACAGGTCCACAAATTAGGTTGGCGTAGTGTTCCTTGGAGGTATCGATCTAATAAAAGCAGCCCCACAAATACATTTTTATAGTGTACTGTCAACGCCTACTGATTTGATTCTGAATAGATGAACGTGAAGAAAAGAGTTGAAAAAACTTAACCTTTCACCTGTGAGCCGTAAAATTCATTTTGGTACGACTTCCTTACTGCATTCGTTAGTGAATGACGTTTTTTAAGAAACTGTTTGATTTTTAATGTATATTTACTTAAATTAATAAGTCATACATGTAACAATAAGCCGTAGTAGCCTAATGTTTGCACCTCTACATTTCGCGGAATTTATGTACAAAACATAATTTGAAATTTATTAGCACGTTAAAGAAGGTTCACAACTCTCGGAAAACGTGTAAAGTCGGACTAAGGCCAAAACGCTCGCATGAATGGGTTAATGATGATGATTACTTACTTTAATGCTGAATACAAGTGCGTAAGAAGGCTCTTAAAACCAAAAGGTCGGCTAAAGGGTATCTTAGGGCATCAACTGTACAAATCATATACGTCGCCAAGATGGTAGTAGCAGTAGAGCTCCTTGTGAAAGAGTCCAGGGAAGTACTGCCACCTTACCTATTTCTGCCGCCTAATAAATAAAGTCAGCATTACTGTGTTCCGGTTTCGAAGGGTAAGGGTGCTGGTGAATTGAAAGGCTAATGGGACTTGTCAACTAGATATTTGTGATAAAAAGGTCTGAGTGGCATTACAACTGTTAAGGACAGGCGTATCGTTTACCACCAGGCACACGACTTGTTCGTTCCATCACTTATTATTACAAGAAAAAAAAAAGATTGCAACCGCGCATACGCATTTTCATGTAATTGGTTTTTACTTATTTTCTTTTAAGCAAGACTTATAAATCTCTCGCCTAAATGTATTATTAAAATATTATAGCATTTGAAGGTGTAATTTATTATTATTGTTACAAAGATCGAACAGTAGAAAGAAAAATTCCAATGATCTGCTGATCATTCAAAACCGGAAAGCTTAATGCAAATGGAACTTAACCATTAAACAAGCGCTGCAGTACTAATTTTCATTCAATTTTGCAGTCACAGTTGGTGAATTAAAAATGATTGAAGCGCTACCACGAAGAAGCATTTTATTTGAAGGCGCCTCACTGTTTTTTTTTATATAATATCAAGTGACGGGACAAACTAGTCGTGCGCCTGATGAATTTTTATATGTAGATATTGATACAGGGTCGATAACGAGCCCTATGCTTAACATATTTGAGTAACGTTCTAGTCACTAAGTAGAGCGCTGGTAATTTAGTGGGAGAAGAATCGCTTCTCAATTCAAAAGTAGACAGTTAGATTATATGTGCCTGTAATTTCACTATGTTTGACGGCCAAAATCGGTAAGTATTTTAATAGAAAACAAACTCTTTCACAAGCAGCTCTACTGCTATTAAAGGATCGTGTTGCCAGTTTACTGTTATCGATTCTAATCTAATGAAATCGACAACAAATTACTAGTATATAAATACTTTGGTAATTTATTGAAATTCGAAATAAAATCTTATATTATAAATAAATTGCTAATATTACTTTGAATATTTTGAATG